AATATAACGACTATATTCGGTATTTTTAAAATTTTAACAGAATTTTTTAAGGACTTTATTTTTTGAAAATTTCCAAATTCGTTCCAAATGGTAGAGGGTATTCAAAGTTCGGCCCGGCCGAACTTACTAATTTTTAACTTGTTTCTTTTAATTTATTTTTAAATGATAAAAAAATATAAGTTTGTCATTCCGTTTGTAACACCTCGAAATACACATTTTAGACCCTACAAAGTATATATATTATTGATCAGCATAAAATTCTATGTCGATTTAGCGATGTCCGTCTGTCTGTCTGTTGAAATCATTCTAGCTTCCGAACGAATTGAAGTAGATTGATAAAATTTTGCTCAAATGTATGTTATGTCTGCAGGACTCTTGGTATTAAAAATGGAGCATGTAGGTCCTCGTTTTGGTATAGCCCCCACATAACGGTACCTCCCGATATTCGGTATTTTGATGATTTTAGCGACATTATTCACATAAATAGTTTCAAATTTGGTATTTGAAGTTCGTAATGGATACTACAGCCTAAGACAGAAAATTGTCTGTGCAGGTCCACGTCTTCGTATAGCCCCCATATAACGGTAAATAAATTTATTTATAAATGATAAAAAATATGTATATTCATAATTTTTTTTTATTAAAATGTATAATATTATTTGAGCTCGCTTTTATTTTAAAACAATTGTATGTATCAAAGCACATATGTTTTAATAAATACATATATTTTTTTTTTTAAAGGCGTTAGCATCATTTGTCTGGGGTTATTTTTTTAATTTTAGAAATACAAGCTTTTTTCATATCTTACACAATACTTTTTTCAGACTTTAAGGAAGCAACATTCTACCAAAAAAATTTGCTTCCTGTACCCATTAATACAGTATATGGAATGCATGCTTTTTTGTGTTTTAAGGTAGTTCATTTTTAAAAATACATGAAGTACTGCATGGCGAAAAAAAAAAACATTTATTTCTTGTACACCTATTTTTGTTTACTCCATTATTCATCATACCATCTACAATTGTCTCGGCTTTTACGAGCTACAAAATCGTACAAAGTAGGAAGTTCATTGTCGTAACTGATTCATTACCAGCCTTAGATTTTATTAAAAATCCTAACGACATCAATATTTACGCAAGCTGGATTAGGGACAATATTGACTATCAAAAACATATTTTGCTATGTCTTCTAGAACACTTCAATATAAGAGGAAATGAGATCGCAGATTGAGTCGCAAAATAGGCTTCCACTTCTCTTGCCACATGTACAGAAAAAATATTGTTGGTCCTTATTTAAAATATTGATATAGAATTTTCGCGTGAAAAAGTAAGTATGTGGGGCAATACAGCAGACTAGTAGTAGACAAGATTAAAACCTATCTATAAAATGATATCATTATACCACGAATTAACCAGATGAAAATAATTCTGCAAAGGTTGGGTAATTGCCGTGGAGCGATCATCAGCGATGTTAATATGATCGTGCAGCGATCATATCATTAACAAAGACTTAAAAAAGAGTGTCAATTTTGGAATTCTAACATATTCGATATGAATCACTATTTAACAATCTGCCAATATAATAAATGTTATACTAAATCAATCTTTAATAATGTACTAGACATAATACAAAATCAAGAAAATACATCTAAAACCAAGATATAATAAAATTGTTAAAATTATTTAACCTTTATAATTCCATTTCAACTTAACTGTAAATTAAACTTTGACTCACATTTTCCAAAATATTGGTAGTTATCTTGTTTGCCAGGACGTCTCTAAACGACTTATGTTAGGGTCTTGTGTACTCTAGACTTGGAGTTTGTTGAAAGAAGACGGGCAGTTTACAGTCTACTATATTTGAAATTCAGTTGCTTTAACATAATTCCATAACGGTTTTCATTTACCATAGTCTGATTTAGGGGTCGTTCCCTAAGAATTGTGATATGGTATTTCCAAATGCTAGACTATGGCAGAGAAAATGCTTCAATGTTTCATTATCTCCCCCGCATTCCCGCATTTGCTGTTGTCTGCACATACAAATGATCTTGTGGGCCCAGTTGCCCCGTAGGGGCATTTACATACGTCAATTTTTTCTGATTGACATCGAAAAAAAGTACACTCAGGGTGAAGAATTTTTGGCAATTGGACATTGTATTGAAGAAAGTATTCTTCACAGGACACAACAAGATTTATTGTTTTGATTGGTGATTCAGCGTTAGTGATTAGGAGAACATGAAAAAAATGTTTCCATCCAATAAGATCCCATGAAAATTAGTGAAACTTTTGTTTATGTAAACATGATTCAGATTAGAGTACATAACGTAGTATCTGCCGTAGATTTATATTTTAAACTTTTTTTGTGTTCAATTTTGAATACCCATATAAAGTTGAAAACTTTTGGAAATTTATTGAATTTTTGTTTAAATTTAATGTTTTTAAAACAAATACATGAACATCTACTTTGTACAATAAACTACGTTAAATGAACTGATAAAACATTTAAGACTATATGAAACTGTATATATGACTATATCATTTGCTCAGTTTGATTAACGCATTAATGTTATTTTGCAGTCAAATGAATTCTTAATCCAACAAATGATACGATAAAATAAAAATGATTATATGATAGAATTACTTTTAAAAATAATCCCTTTAATTGTATAAAAAATAATCTGATTAAAAGCAACTGATTTTTTATACCCTCCACCATACTATGGAGGGTATATTAACTTTGTCATTCCGTTTGTAACTCCTCGAAATACTCAAGTCAGACCCAACAAAGTATATATATTCTTGATCGGCGTAAAATTCTTAGTGGATTTAGCAATGTCCGTCAGTCTGTCTGTTGTAATCACGCTATCTTTCGAACGAATTGAGATAGAAGGTATTTCGGTATTTTGATGATTTTAGCGACATTATTCATCGGAATTGTTTCAAATTCGGTATTTGAAGTTCGAAATGGATACTACAGCCTAAGACAGAAAATTGTCTGTGCAGGTCCACGTCTTCGTATAGCCCTCCCGATATTCGGTTTTTTAATGATTTTATGGATATTTTTCACCAGAATTGTTTCAAAGTTGGTATTTGAAGTTCGTAATAGATACTACAGCCTAAGACAGAAAATTGTCTATGCAGGTCCACGTCTTCGTATAGCCCCCATATAACAGTACCTCCCGATATTGGGTATTTTGATGATTTTAGCGAATTTATTCACCGGAATTGTTGTTATTATAACCGATTTTTTTTAAGTTTCGAATTTGAATATTGTAATAGCTTATGACAAATGTTACATACGTATAGGCCCTAATATTATAGCTAGATTCGCTATCTTTAAGATTTTAACAGAATTTTTAACGGATTTTATTGTTTTTGAGAATTGCCAAGTTCGTTCCAAATGGGGGAGGGTATTCAAAGTTCGGCCCGGCCGAACTTACGGCTTTTTTACTTATTTTTATTAAAATATATAATATTATCTGATTTGATTATATTTGAAGTCATTTTTAATTTAAAACAATTGTATGTATCAAAGCACATACGATTCAATAAATACATTTATTATTTTTAAAGGCATTAGTATCATTTATCTGGGGATATATATATATTTTAATTTTAGAAATTCAAACTCATTTTTCATATTTTACATAAGCAACATTCTACAATACGAAATTTGTTTCATAACTGGTATACCATAAAAATTTGCTTCATGTACCCATTCATACAGTATATGGAATGCATGCTTTTTTCGTGTTTTAAAGTAGTTATTTTTTAAAATACATGAATTACTTCATGGCGAAGAAACCATTTATTTATTGTGCACTTTCCTATTTTCGTTTACTCCAATATTGATTAAAAGTCCTAGGGTCTCTTCTATTGTTTCCATTTTTCCCCATATCATCTACCATTGTCTCGCATTGTGTATTGTTTTTAAACATAAACTTTTTAATTTTTGATACATGATTTACGCTGTTAATACGTTCGCAGAAAAGCTTCTAGGAGTTACTTTCTCAGTACAAACAGACCCGTCAGACATATCCAATGTTTTTTGCGAAGTGTGGCCTGATTCATCAATTCTGATGAATTCCAGTCAACAAAAAAAATTAATGCACTTGGCCATACATATGTAGTTGCTAACGAAAACGCGAATCCAATAGAAGATATAAACATGTTTGAATTAAATGTCACCCTTTATCAGCTCAAAGGATAGACAGGATAAACTATGAAATGATCAGGAACCTAGGGCCGAATTGTAAAGTACGCTTAGTTTCACTTTATAATAACATATTTAACTCATTCATTTAGCAAATTTACAAAAACAGCCCTCTTGTACCTATTCCTGAAGCGGATTCACGTTGCTAAAAGAATGTGGTGGTTTATTATAGCTAAAAAATTCATTCCATTTAAATTTACATTTAAAAAAGCGTAAATCCATAGCTAAAAATATTATATTCCTTTATTATTATATAAATAACTCCATCAAAACCAATATATATGTTTTGTTTTGCAAAAGCTTTCGAAAAAAATCGGCTTGCATGCAATACTTAGTCAATTGGAAGAATGGGCCTAAAATAAACAATTATGTCAAAAACTATATTACTAATAGACAAATAAAAATCCGAGTTAACTCTCACCTCTCGGAATCAAGACATCTTTATAATGGAATACCTCAAGGCTCTCCACTTTCAGTCAATAAACTTACTCAAATACTACAATCTCACAGGGCTATCAGATTTGTGGCATATGTAGATGATTTCGGAATTATAAAAAAGCTATGTAGCACACTTCTGCCACACTGAAAATGATTTAACTGACATTGGATGGTGATGCTGTTGCTGTAGTGGAAATTCCGACCAACAGCTTCACCGAGGGTATAAATGGAGGCCAAGTAGGAAAACGCGCTAAAACTTTTACCGCGCCTAACCTATACGTTGGGATACTACAACATTTACACCAAGAAAATATTAAAACAGAAAAATAAAACGATTTATAAATTTGTTCGAATTTTGAGTTATTTTATTGAAGAGTGTTAATCTATGTTTTGGGCAGACAAACTTAAAAGTAAGTGTTGATGGTGAATCTTAATTTTGTCTGTTACTGACTGATGCTCGGTGGGGTTTCTTTTGTCTTTTAATATTGCACCACAACAGTTAACAACGATTTGACTGTCCTCCTCAATTTTCCAAACGGGAGGAGGGCAGATTTTTCAATAATTTAATTGGACAAAAATCCAGATTCGAAAACTTGACCAGTCCGAGGAGCGGCATAAGTAACTGGTAAATCCCCCTGAGCCTGTGGTGATGCTCTTTTTGTTGTATCCGAGATGACCAGGTAACATTTTTGTGGTACACCGTGCAGATAGCTCCGAAATTTTGAACTTTCCTTGCGGCCTTAAAACCCAATGAACTTTTAACATAAAAAGAAGAAGATAAAAAAGGAAATTAATTATAAAAATAATACTAGTTTTAGATTAATGTATTTTAAGTTTTAATTGTGTGTTGTCCTTATTCAATGATTTAGTGTTTAAGTTTTTTTTGTAAGGGTTTATAATGCCGATGCCTTTTATGTTGCGAGTGTAGGATTAACCCTTGACGAATTTGTATGAGAAATACTTTAAATATATCGACCTATCAATGAAAAGTTCGTCCGCCGCTTGAGCGAGCTCTTTTAGGTAGGTCAATTGTGAGTTTTTGTGTCGTTAATAGCCCATTGGTTGTCGCGTATAAGAAAGATGTTAATCTGAGTCAGTGACTAGCATTTCTTATTCTAAGATTATTCGGTATTAGTAGTTCCGTTTTTATGATTCTAAATGTTTTATGTTCATGGGTTAATTGATAATGACAATATCTAAAATAAATGTTTGTTTTTAAGTTTGAATATTAATATGATGTGCTAATTTTTGTTTGTGAGAGAGGATACTAGGATGTAGGTTTCGCGTTAGGTAAGTGTGTGTGGAATTTGGGGCCCTTTTAAAATTTGTGTTTATGGATCAAAGGGTCAAGGTTGGGCGGGCTATGTGTGGGGATAAATGCCATCAAGTTCCCTTGTCATGTTCGTGTGGTGTGTGGTTTCAATTGTTGTTTTGTCCTTTATTAAGACCAACTTCTGTTTCTAGTTGTTAAGCCCCTAGGACTCCTGGTGGTAAGGGTTAAGAATCCCCCTGATAGGGATGCCGCGACTGAGAGTATCGAAACCCCACCAGAGTGCCGAAGTAGGTGGCACATATCAATTGGCGCCCAATATTCAAAATACAATATTCTTTCGCTCCTAAATTAAAATGGCGAGGACATGCCTGACTAACTCTGTGCAATAACACTGTGCAGATCAATAGACAATAGGGTGTAATAGATTAAATCGAAATATCGCCGTTCCTAATGGCTAACGTATATTGCAGCTCCTTATTAGAAACTTATCTGTGATTATTGTGCAATATATAGTTTAGAAAATTAGGATAGTAGGATATGCCGATCCATATAAATTAGGCCCAGTGCAATAACTCTTGTTCGTGAATTGTAACAAAGATTGTATTGTTTTCGTGACCTGTGCTTTATGTTTTTTGCTTCAGTGTTTCTGTGTTGTTTTCCTTTAAAGACCATACACTAGGGTTAGTATAAGGTAAAAGTGCAGTAACTGCTTAGACGATGGTTATCTAAGACTGCACTATAAAATAACACCTTTAACACACGAACTTCTAATTCGTGACATGAATAAAATGTCGTGTAAATACCCTTTACGAATTTTTTCAAAATGTAATGTCAAAAATACTGTCTAGCAATACGTCCATCGCAACCTTCTAAGGACACAAATAATTAGAAAAATGTTTCGTTAAAAAAAAAATAAAACCACACACTTTATCTATACGAGTAACTGAAAATACCTCTTAGATCCTCTCGTATTCGTTATCTGTGTTGATTTAAAAAAACTAACTTTATTTTTTTGTGTGTAACTGTATCTTAGTATAATTTTTACATAACAACTTATATGGTCCAATTCATTTATTATATTTATTTTAAGCTAAAAGTAACTAACTCATTCTATTTTTATCTTAAATATTTTAAGCTGTAAATAAATTGGCCACTTTTATTTAATATTTTTAAATTTTGCTATCGCCCAACATAAACTTTAAATTCGATATTAAATTCTCATGAGTTCAAAAGCCACAGTTAGAAAAGTCAAAAACAAAAGAGACCGCTCTTTACTTTTTGATTTGAGCAGGTATTCAATCTCGTCACCACTACCCAAACAAAAGAAAAACCAGAAAAGTTCCAAAATATCACAGCCTAAGGGCAATACTGACCCATCAATTAGGGATTTGTCAGATACTATAATAAATAACAACCCTGGCTCTAGTGGAACAGCTGGATTACCACAAAATAATTCTCCCCAAACAAGTACAAAGCCAAATCCACCAAAACACCCGGTTGAAGTTGACAAACTGGTAAGAATCTAGTGCAAGAAAGCTTAAACCACGCGCAAGCTAATTTCCAATACATGGTACAAGGCACTGTAGCCAAAGAGTTAGAAAAAGTGTATAGTGTCATAGGTAAATTAAGTGAGGCCGTCTCAAAACTATCTATGGAGATACGGAAAGATCCCCCATCAAATCCTGATCTGCCTACCGATGACGCCATGAACAACAATATACCTCAACAAATGACCACCAAAAATTCTGTCCCTCCATACAGCCTTATGTCAAGCAATAACTCTATATCCCAAAACAATCCTATTCTTGAACACGACCCTATGCCTGCTTATAGACACAGGGAAAACAATATAAACATGACTACCAGAGTAATACCATCATTTATGAGAGCTTTGGATTAAATTTTTCCGGTAAACCAAACAGTTTGTCCGCGGAAGATTTTGTTTATCGATTGAAATATTTCCAAAGGCATTATCGTCTGGCATGGTCTGACATCTTAAATGAATAAATATCGGGTATCGGGACCATCATATGACTGGTTCTGGTTACAACAAAAAATTGATAACATTTCGGATTGGGAATCACTAAAACACGGTTTATTAGAAAGATTTAAAAGGTGACGTACCTGCTTCGAAGAGATGAGAGACCTATTGGAGCGTAAACAGCAACCAGGGGTATCTATCGATGCCTTCTTTCACGAGGTCGAAACTAGAAAAGCCTGTGTCAGAATTCGAGATGATCTCCCTGGTGAAAAAGAATCTGCAGAAAAACCTGTCCACTATAGTATATTCCATGCCAGTCTCATCTCTGAAACAGCTGCGAATAGAATGTCTTGAAATTGAAAGAACATTATTTCGTAGGGATAGAGCCCCGATGTTACATCCGACCGTAAACAAAGCATTTAAAATAAACGCGCTCCAGGAAGAAGTGGAATATAACGATGGTAAATTATTGGAGGAAAATAATGAAATTCTTGATTTATCCGCTATAAGTACATCTATATTATGTTGGAACTGTCAAATACCTGGGCATGTATTTCGGGACTGCACTGCGTCACACAGAAATAGATTTTGCTTTAAATGTGGTAAGCCAAACACCATTACTCCGAAATGTAGTGAATGTAGAACGGAATGCGAACATGGTTTCAGCGGGGAACCATCGTTCCGCCGATCAACCCGCCACTCAGAAACTCCTGCCAAAGTAGAGCAGGCCCATAACAATGAAAAGACTTCTCATAAAATCCGCCACTATATACCATTAACCGTTAGGGAAGAAAATTATAATAAAACTAAAGCTAGAATTTTTGGCGAAAAGGTCATAGACGACAAGGCAATATTCAACGGATGCTGAAATTCTAATGAAAAGCTAAAAAATCAGATCAAGAAAAATCAAAACAGAAAAGAGAAAAACAAAAACAATATAAGAACCGGAAAAGGTCAGTGATAGAAGCAATAAGAAAGTTTCAAAACTATAAAGATTCTAGGCCATATGCAACGGTGAAGATCGATGAAAAACCAATTAAAGGTCTCCTCGATTCCGGAGCCACAGTCAGTATATTAGGAAAAAATTGTAGGGAAATTGTGGAAGATTTAGGTATAGAAGTCAGTCTATACATGTCCGATGTCAGTACTGCTTCTGGACAAAGACATAGGGTACTGGGAAAGATAACAGTTAATGTCGAATACGAAACCAAAATCCATGAAATGTCCCTGTACCTATGCCCTGATTTGGAACAGGACTTATACCTCGGAATAGATTTTTGGGAACTGTTTAAAATTGCTCCACTCATATTTCCGATTGAACAAATTGATGTAAATTTACAAAGAAAACTACAGGGTGATGCCGAAAATATAAATCCTAAAGCAGCCCATCCACAGACGAATTTGTTCGACGAACATGTGTTGTTTACATCGTTGGTGTTAGTGAATTTTTTGTTGGTGTTAGTGAATTTTGTGTTCGACGTTTTGTTCGCCAAAAATTAAAACGTTTCAATCTTTTTTGTGTTCGCACGAACATTTGACACAGTGGATGGCAGTGTTCGACGAACATCAGTTGAAAAATATTTTTTTAGAGTGAAGACGTGCTTAAAATGTCACAACAATTTTTATTGGAATTTATTAATTGCCTGGAAAATGAACCAGCATTGTGGCAAACAAAAAGCGACATATATAAAAATAAAAATGCCAGAAACAAATCGTGGGAAGTTTTATTAAATAAATATAAAAATGTGGATGAACATGCATCCATTGAAACTGTGAAGAAAAAAGTGAATTCGTTGCGCGCATCATATAGACGGGAACTGCACAAAATTAAAAGGAGCGAAAAGTCTGGAGCTGGAACAGACGACGTATACAAACCCAGCATATGGTATTTCGATCAGCTGAATTTTCTTCAAGATCAGGAGACTTCAGTTGACGGAATAAACACATTTGACGACAGCTTTGAAATTGAAATAGTAAGTATATTTAGAATAAAAACAATTGTTTATAAACATATATTTATTAGCAAAGTTTGAAGTATACATATAGAAAAATATAAAATATTAAATGCGGTCATTTTGCCAAGGTACTGCTCCAATTGTGTTGAAGTATTCGCGAAAATGTTCGCGAATTTCTTTGGCATCATCAGTATAATTACTGCCTTTCAACGGCTTCAAATCGTCCATTTGCTGGTCAGACATTTTGTCGGGATCTGCTGCTCCACGCAAATAAACTCGGGCATTCTCCTTGGACAAATAATTGTGTAAATAGCAGCAACATAAAACAATTACAGAAGCCTTTTCTGGCTGCAAGGATATAGTATTTAGAAGGATCCTAAATCTGCTGCTTATAATTCCAAAAGCGTTTTCTACTATACGCCTAGCTCTTGAAAGGCGGTAGTTAAAAATGAGATGCTCTTTTTCCAGCTTTTGGCGGCTGTAGGGCTTCATTAAATTCGATGAGAGGGGAAAGGCGTCGTCCCCTACTAACACATATGGTAGTTCATATGACGCATTTTTAATTTGCCGCGGTTTGGGTATACGTAGGGATTGCTCATCGTAGCGCCTTTTGTACTCCGATTGGGCAAATACTCCAGCATCTGATGCTCTTCCATTTGCTCCGACTTCCACACAAATAAATTCGTAATTTGCGTTAACTACAGCCAACAGTACAATGCTGAACGTTTTCTTGTAATTAAAATAATACGAGCCTGACGTTTTTGGCTTTTTGATGTGCACATGCTTTCCATCAATGGCCCCTATGCAGTTAATAAAATTCCATTGATTTTCAAATTCATTCGCAATATCTTTCCATTCATCCTCATTAGTAGGCATCTAAAAAATAAAATAATAAATACATTATTACATTATTATATTTTCTTTTTCTTTTAATATTTTGTAGCCAAAGATCACTAAACGCAAACGTGACGAAGGAGCTCAGTTTCTGCAAAAAGCAGTAGAGCACTTGGACAATGTAAAGAATATAAAAACAAAAGACAACGCTGACATTTTCGCTGAAGGATGGGCTGCGATGTTCAGGCAGCTGACAAAAGAGCAACAGCTTTTTGCAAAAAAAGGAATTGATGAGCTCCTAATGCAAGGCAGTATGAATATGCTAACATATTCATCTGTGTCAAGCATTGAAAACTTCCAGAATAATATTAATTGTCATGCGCCAGTGCCGGTTTATCCCCGACAAATTATTCGAGTCAGCACTCCCCTAACAAGTGACTCCACCAGTACATCTTCCTTTATGTCGCACTACTCTGTAGATGATAATTCAACACGCCCAGTATTGATCACACAAAATAACAACGTGGCAGCATCTTCGTATAATGATTTATTCAACAGCGATGAATATGTATAAGGATTATTAATATTAGACTTAAATGAAATTAATATTTAAATAAAACATTTTTATTCTTACTTTTATATACGGCTTAAGTATTTTAATTATTACGCCACATGTTTCGAAAACTATGCGTCCAAGACTCTGGGGAGAAATTCCAGTTAAAAATTTTAAATCTTCGTAGCTTTGGCCACTTGCCAAAAAGCGCAAAGTCGCTGAAAGCCTTTCATTTGCACTTATTGCTTCTCTCATTGTAGTATCCTGCCGATGAATTTCTGGAGCTACCAAATTTAATAGAGCTGCATATGTTTCAGCGTCCATTCTAAGAAAATTCTTTAAATCCAACCGAGAACTTTCTTTCAGTTCCTTTAAGAGTTTTGTATGTGTGAACTTTTGGCGCTTTGCATACCATTGTTTCATCCATATGCTGTGTTTTCTTTTTTTAACTTCCTCCTTATTTTTTTTTTCCTCCAAACAAACATGTATTGCCATCAAGGCAATGACTGTGTCGCGGTCGATCTCTGATGACATGTTTACTCGATGAAAATTGTTTACAAATGATGTTCGCGAGCATGTTCGCACTCGTTGGTGGGCAAATGAAATTTTTGTTCGACGAACAGTTCGTCGAACAAATTCGTCTGTGGATGGGCTGCTTAAGATGCACAAACTAACCGAGGATCAAGAAACAAAACTATACAAGGCTATAAAAAGCTTTCCGACTTTCGAAGAGAGTGGTTTAGAGTGCACCATGTTGGAAAAACACTCAATATAATTGGTAGAAGGGGCTAATCCAATCAAGGATAAGCACTATCCCCTCTTTCTGGCTGTCCAAGAAATTGTCTACAAAGAGATCGACAACATGTTAGCACTCAACGTCATGGAGGAAAGTAATTCAGCTTGGAGTAACCGCACCACTGTGGTTAGAAAACCAGGCAAAAATAGGTTCTGCTTGGATGCGCGAAAGTTGAACGCGTTGACAATCAAAGATGCGTACCCCCTCCAGAACATAGATGGTATCCTGAGCCGCATAGACCAAACCCACTATATAAGCAGTGTCGACCTGAAGTATGCCTTCAGGGCAAATAGAGCTGGAGGACGAGGCGAGACCACTCACCACATTCACGGTGCCAGGTCGACCGCGGTACCAATTTAGGGTTATGCCGAAGGAAGTATCCGAAGGTTTACACAAGGCAAACCTGACAATAGGCCTGAAGAAATCACTCTTCTGTTTTAAGGAGTTGAGATATCTGGGATTTATCATTGGGAATGGCTGCCTAAAAACCGACCCCGAGAAGCACAACGCCATATTAAAAATCCCCGTACCGAAGTCACCGTGAGAAGTTCGCAGCTTCCTCGGCACTGCCGGATGGTATAGGAGGTTCATTAGGGATTTTGGCTCAATATCTGCCGCACTAACAGATACCCTTAAGAAAGGTCAAAAATTCACGATGACTCCGATGGCCATGGAATCCTTCAAAACTCTCAAGCAGGCCCTAACGTCAGCCCTTGTCCTCTGACATCCTGATTTCCGCAGAGAATTTTATATACAATGCGATGCATCAGAATATGGCGTAGGGGCAGTTCTTTTTCAAAAAAATTATGATGGAGAAGAAACACCAATTGCATTTTATTCCCAGAAATTAAATAACTGCCAAAGAAATTATACGGTTACGGAAAAGAAATGTTTAGCAGCTGTGCTTGCGGTGAAAAGATTCCGACCATACATAGAGCTTATGAAGTTTACCATAATTACCGACCACGCCAGCCTAAAGTGGCTAATGTCCCTAAAAGATCTGAGTGGTAGATTGGCACGATGGTCATTGCAGCTACAAACCTACGATTTTTCTATCGAACATAAAAAGGGGTCAGAAAACGTTGTGGCGGACACCCTATTACGAATGCCTGTTGATTCCGATATGGTTATGGAGGAAATATATCTTCATAATGATTTACTTAACTTTGAAACAACAGCATTTGAGAGCGAAGATTATGTAGAGCTTCGGGAACATATTCTCAAAAATAAAGAAGCATTGCCAGATTTGAAAGTCGAAAACGATAAAATTTATAAAAGAATGCCCAATGTAGATCCAGACTTGATAGAATTCGAATGGAAACTATGGATTCCACTCGACATAACATACGTGCTAATAGAAAGAGCACACAATTACCAAAATACAGTACATGAAGGCATCAACAAAACCCTAGACCGATTAAGAACCTGGTACTACTGGTCATAAATGGCCTCACAAGTGAGACAGTATGTGAAAAATTGCGACATTTGCAAAGAAACGAAGTCCTCAATCCGACATCTAAATCCTACCATTGGAAACGAAGTGATCACCGAAAGACCCTTCCAAAAATTGTATGTGGACTTTCTCGGAAAGTACCCACGATCAAAAAAGGGTAATGCGTACATCTTTATTGTAGTGGACCACTTCTCCAAATTTACACTTTTGCACGCTATGAAGGAGGCAACAGCTCAGAACGTAGTTCGGTTTTTAGAAAACCAAATATTTCACAATTTTTGGGGTCCCAGAGACCATTCATAGTGACAATGGGAAGCAGTTCATATCAAAAGCATTTGAAGAAATGATGAAAAATTATAAAATACACCACCTAACAACCGCCTACTATGCTCCCCAATCCAACGCTTCGGAGCGTGTAAATCAATCCGTACTGGCAGCAATTAGAACATATGTTCAAAGTGACCACCGGGATTGGGACTTATTTTTACCAGAAATAGAACTAGCACTGAGAACCGCTGCACATTCTGCAACTGGTGTAAACACATTCTTCGCCCTATTCGGGTATAACATGTTTACCAGTGGAACAGATTATAAACTGGCTAGAAGATTAAAATCCCTCACCGACCACCAAATTGAACAGCTAAACAAAAATGATCGGCTAGAAGTCATGCGAGAGCAGATAAAGAACAACATGCATCAAGCATATGAAACCAGCGCTAAAAGATATAATCAACGAGCACGCCTTGTGAAATTTCTACCAGGACAAGAAGTTTTTAGGAAAAATCATGTCCCGTCCGATTTCAAGAACAACATTAATGCAAAATTCTGCAAAAAGTTTCTGAAATGTAGGATTGTCAATATGTACGAACTTGAAACACTACAGGGCAAGCCTCTAGGTAATTTCCATGCCAAAGACGTTACAATATAACAAGTGCAATAATTCTGTGATAATAATACAAGTGTAATATAGGTTAAGGAAATGTATGCTCGTGACCGTCCATTTACTTGCCTTTTGCATTTAATTATTATTAGCAATTATTGATACCGTTTTATATTTTATATTAGGCTAAGAAATGTGCCTGATTACCCGGCTTTGAGACTTCAGGGTGTGGGAGTTCCCCGCGTTGGTCCCATCAAAGGAAGTTACATGTTAACAATAACAAATGAAACAACCCCCAATATACTAAATTAATTTATGTATGTCAGGCAATAATCCTGATTCTGATCAACTAACATTAAGATACAAAGCACACATTAAAATAGTCACGTAGACTGAAACCAATAGTGAGATATTGACCCACAGAAAAATGTAATTATATTTTTTTGAAATGGAAAATATGATCGGAGAAGCAAGGCGAATTAATGAGGGCATTTTAATAAAAATAACATTTTGATTTTATCTCTGAAAAATTGATTCATTTTTTTAATGTATCACCATTAATATATATACAACCACAATAATAAATAAATAGTAAACACATAATTGTCAATGTATATGGTGGTTGGAATCTGGAAATATGTACCAATGGAATCTCTCCATTAATTCTCATGGTTACGGTAAATAATGCCGAACATAATTCAATTGGTACAGAAGCGGGTAGGCATACGTATTGATCTGCTGCATATCAGATGTATATGAATAAAATTAACTAATAAACCCCATTTATGCCAATATAATCGCCAATATTATTATCCCTAAATTGTTTGCCATACGCTCATCTTGCCATATACATCTTGAGTACATCAGTGTTCACACTTTCCTTTTTCATTTCGTAATCACTTTGAAGCCACCATATTTTTTTTTTGCCCATTCAAAGTCAGTACCCGTCCACACAAAACTACAAAATGATTGTTTTTAAAAACTCTCCTGTTTATAGATATCCTTTTTATTTGGTATAGCACCTCCTTTTCCAAAATATTAAGATGTTGATCCGGGTTATGCAATGCAGGTAAAATAGGGCATATTGTGTGTCACTAACATTTATATATGATGTGTTGCAGGAACACGGTATTATAAATCGGTGACAATAATTCCATGTAATTGCACAAGCAAAAGCGAAAAAATAACCTAAAGAAGAGATAAAATTATTAAATAATAAAGTGAAAATCCGTTCGCGAATAAATGTTTAAATTCGGATACAACAACACTCAAAAAATCTTCATAAAACAATTTAGGTTGAATTATATTAAATACTAAATGGATACAAACAAATATATAAAAATTATTTGTTCTGTTTATGGATATTATTATTAATTCATACACTTCACTTTCACAAGCCCACATGAGATAAATTTACTTTCACGTATTTGATCATTCCCATCGCCGTATCTGGCCCATGATAAATTATAATATATCTACTATATCACATCGATATCGTAGAGAGATGTATGCTTTAATCATGCATTTTTAAATTTCATTGTTATGCTTATTTGGTATTGGCCAACACGATCGCCAACAAATTGTCATGATTTGCTTTAATTACTGCTACCGAGTTTTAATTGTAGAATAAATATTGATGTTTGATCAACAATCTTTAAAAATTCACATCGTCCTGTAACCAGGTAACACAACACTTCTTTTGGTTAACATGAAAAATTGTTGTTTGTTTTCTCTTTCGAGACGAGCTTAATGATCTGAAATTTGCAGTGAAAAGGAAAGCCAGATAGACACTATCACACACTCACCACTATGCGACGCGTTTCGCCGTTGGTTAAGCGGCTCATCAGGCATATTTGGTGTGGATGATGGCTTACAAGGGCCGTTCTCTGGAAAGTAGTATATATTTCGAACTTATTGCAAATTAGCATATGCGAATTATACACTAGAAACTCTCCAGGTTGGACTCAAGTTCTATTGGCAGATCTTTTTCACAGCAAAGTTTTGTTTTTGTAGTGATGGATTTTTTGTCCACAACAACTACATTGCTTCCAATGCATACACTTGTTTTAGTGCTGCTTTAGGAAGACGGGTTAATGGCTCTGAACGTAGAGACGGCAACTTCTAGTTGGCTGCACACCGAGGTCCGCGGTTCAAATCCCACAGCCAGGCTCGGCTGAATTTTTGAGTTTTGCCTTGTTAAGGCGAAGATCATATGTTTTATGATTTATTGTTTGTTTTCTCTTTCGAGACGAGCTTAATGATCTGAAATTTGCAGTGAAAAGGAAAGCCAGATAGACACTATCACACACTCACCACTATGCGACGCGTTTCGCCGTTGGTTAAGCGGCTCATCAGGCATATTTGGTGTGGATGATGGCTTACAAGGGCCGTTCTCTGGAAAGTAGTATATATTTCGAACTTATTGCAAATTAGCATATGCGAATTATACACTAGAAACTCTCCAGGTTGGACTCAAGTTCTATTGGCAGATCTTTTTCACAGCAAAGTTTTGTTTTTGTAGTGATGGATTTTTTGTCC